TCGTATCCTCTCAAGTCCAGCCACAGAGCTAACCTGTGGTCAAATATCGTCCAAAGGCCCTTCCAAAGCTTTTTGCAGAAGGTAGGAAAACATCAGATACCTTCTGGTCTGTGGGCCTGGGGTGGCAAAAGGTCTTTCCGATTTCCTATTTAGATGAGATTTTTTTTTCTAAATGTACCATAGTTTCTTTGTTCATTTAGCAGAAGAGAATTTGAAAGAAAAAAGATCTCTCTGTCTTCTTCTTAAAGCTCACCAGGGAAGATAGAAGAACTCTCCGGGGTGTCAAATGCACGCATTGGCTGGCTATAGGCTCTGCATGAAGTGAACCATGTAGGTGGGGATTGGGGAGTTGCGAATGTAATTGTGACCCCCACAAACACAGTGTCTCCTACCACCGTACTAAATGTACTGGCAGGATTTGAGCACACCCTGTCATATTTTTAAAACCTTTACAAGCTGGAATGAATCAATGAAAGTGACCTGGGTGTCTCTAGGGTCTAGGGTGCCCTTCCTGTTGTCTTCTATTTCAATGTTTATCCGTCCAAGTTCCCCAAACTCAGTCTCCAAATTCACCTGCACTGTGCTGATTGTCTCTACTCCTGTGGTTTTCTGTCTTTCCCATGGGGGAGAGGAGGTTAGTTCCTTCCCTCTGTCTTGTAGCCACCCACTCTAGATCCCTATCATGACAAAGATAATAGCCCTTTACGTTTAGATAACACTTTTCCACTTCACAAAGCATTTTCACCACCATTATCTCTTTCAATCCAAGCCATAGCCCTGTGACTCAGCTAGGTGGTCATGATCGCTATCATCCACTTTTTACAAGTGAAGAAACTGAGGCTTGAAGAGGATAAGTGCCTTCTCAGAGGTACACATCCAGGACTGCGGGTCTGGGACTAGAAATTAAACTTCTGATGGTTGTCTAATGTGTTGCCTAATGCATCCGATGACCCTCTACATTCAGAAAGACTCCAAAGTGGTCCGTGGCACCAGCCTTTGTCATTACCTGCACTGGACTCACTGGAGGTATGAACAGCATGATTTCCTGAGACAGGATGTGTGGAGAAGAGACTAAGAATAACAACAGATAACATTTATAAGCATCTGGGCTGTGTCAGCCATGGCACTAGGTCTTTCAAAGTTCTTATCCCTAATACAACAGCCATACAAAGTGGGTGTTATACCTAGTTAACAGATGAGGAAGCCAGCTTGCCAAGGTCACCTGCTGTATCAGAAATGTCTTTCACCTCTACTTCTTGTTGGGGAGCAGTCCACTGTGTATAGGCCTTGACATCATACAGGCCTTGGTTCAAATGCTGGCTCTGCTGCCTACATGAGCTCTGAGCCTGTTTTCTCATATAATGTATATATATTATAATCCTTCATTCTTCTAATATATATTTATAATCCTTCATCCTTACAGTGCTGTCCAGAGGTAAGGCTTAAAGGTAATGCTGAGCCAAGATTGCTGGCTGATGAAATTCTGGACACCCCTAAATGGATCCAAGAAGGGGCACTCAAGGGGCTGGGGAGAGGCAGAAGGATAGCAACATCTGTCTATCTGTCAGGTATACTGAAGGGGGCCATGCTTTGGATTCAGTACTTATACCTGTTGAGGTCTTGTCAGGTGAAGCCTTCCATCTGAGGTTGTAGGCTCCAGAAAATGAGACGGGGCTCGTTCAGAGTTACTCAGGTATGATGAAGTCCTCAGCTGAAACCCATTTGTTACCTGCCTACGTATAATTCAGCACCTGTAACTGCTCTGTCCCAAGTCCCGCCCCAATATTTAGTAGCCTTTTCCAGGGCACAAGACTCCCTTTACCACCTGCAAAGTGATCTCCATGTCACAGGGGGCCATGGCTGCATGCCACACCCTGCCCACAGACATCTCTGGAGCTGCAACCTCAGAGAACACCTTTGAAAGGGAAATGCACTGTCATCAAAGTGATGAGTGGTGTGCCACACCCTGGGCCATCCACAGCCCAGAGGCAGGGCACATGCTGTGCAAAGCCTGGGAGCCAAAAGTAGGTGTTCGCCAAGTTAAGGTAAGAGGTGCTCTGCCCCCCCC